TTAATTTTTTTTACCAAAGTGGGACTAGAGGGGCTCCGTACGTTCGCTCTTCAAAAAAGCCATAATTTGCAGACAATTCAAGTCTCGCGGAAGTTCCCGGAGTGTCCCGCATATTGATAGCGGCTCCCTAATGCACGCAAATTAGTTAAAATCTCCCGGAATCTAGAGAGAGCGAGCAAGAGAGACAGAAAAAAACTGTGCTCTTAACCGTATTGCGTCCACCGCAGAGAGGGAGAGAGCGAGAGACCTTGTGTGTGTGCCTCATGAAGCGCATGTAAGACAGAGAGCATCCTGATTGGCCGATTGATAAAATTCGAGAATCGAATCAAACCGTGACCTTAGAATCGAAAATGTAATCGAATCGAGGATTTGGAGAATCGTGACACCTCTAGTAATGATGTGTGCTTTACATTTGTTAAAAGGCTTGTTTAATCTGAAACAGAACAGATAAATAAAACATTATTAAGTTTATTAAAGTAAATAAATAATGAATGCATTAATTCATTAATCAGAAGAACAGAAAAATACATACCATACTGGACAGGGCTCCCAGTCAACCAAAATTTCTTCTTTGCCCTATGAAGAAAATTATTTTTTTCTTAGTATAAGGCTATTATGTCTGGTTAGGCATTGAGTTTAATTGATACAATGTGTCATTATTTTCAGTAGACACTTCTTCCTAAACTATAATTTTTCTTCCTAAACTGTAATTCAAAAAGACTAAACACTGGTCTTATGGTCTGAATAACATGCACAGTTGATAATTGAAAAATTTGAATATTGTGGAAAAGTTTTGTCAAATTTTGATGATTATGGCTTACAGCTTATGAAAACCCCAAATTCAAAATCTCAGAAAATTTAAAATTACATACAATCAATAAAAAAAGAAGGATTTTAAATACAGAAATGTCAGCCCTCTGAAAAGTATAATCATGCATATGTATATATTTCTATATACTATATATACACCTTTTAATTTGAATTACTGAAATAAGTGGACTTTTGCATGATATTCAAATTTTTCCAAGTTTAACCTGTATTTGTCAACACAAGGAAGTTTCTAAATCCTATATTTCACTCTGCATACCGCCTACACTCTGCAGTTCCTTCATGACTGTCTAACCTTTCTCACTCTTTCTTTTACAACACTCCTGATGGGGAAAGCCTCTAGGCGAGTGTGGTAGGAACAATCTGTGAACATCAAAAACACGTTTCAAATATTTCTTAGATAGATTAGGAACAAAATAAACACAACTATGAAGATTTAAGTAGCGAACAGACTTGCAAGGATGAGAAGTGATGTTTATCACTAATTAAAAAAAAATGTATAAATGGAACCAACTTACTCTAAGTTCCAATGTGGTATGCTTGCTTTAATAACCATACTACTGCAAAGTCAACCCTCACAACTGAGAATACTCCACTGCTGCTGCTTCCAATACTTGACTTTATTTTGGTAAAATTAGACTAACTAAGCCTGTTGGATTTATAGGTGGTCCATTGTACTAATCTCAATAATATTAATCCCTTCCTATTCTATATCTATTATGAATAATCATGTGTCAATAATCAATAGTCATGTGTGCTACACTGGACTAGCTGGACTGGTCACGACATTTGCATATTGTTGCACTGTTGTGGATTTGACTGCTTGTATTGTAAATATTGTATTTATATGCAAGTCGCTTTGGATAAAAGCGTTTGCTAAATTATTAAATAAATAAATAAAATTGTGACTAATTGTCTGTTGTAATTGGTTAAAAAAAATAAGCAATTGAACTATAGCAAATAAACAGGGGTAAAAGTTGTAATGTATAGCAAAGTATCAATCATTGCATTTACATGCACTTACTCTTTTGTGGCCTTTTTCTTTCAGGCATATGCCTTGGTCCCCCTGTGGGACATAAGATTACAGTCCAGTCATATATCCACTCAGAATTTTTTTTTTACAATAATTAGACAAAATGCACTTTGTACGGTCCTTTCAACAGAAATATTTGTTCCTGGTGTGTCTAGAGACCCCTGAAATATGAGAAAAGACCACCCTCTCTTTTAGTTAAAGGGTTAGTTTACCCAAAAATGAAAATTCTGTCAGTATTTACTCACCCTCATGTTGTTCCAAACCTCTATGTGTTTATTTGTTCTGCTGAAAACAAAGGAAGATATTTGGAAGAATGTTTTAATCAAACAGATCTCAATCCCCATTGATTTCCATAGTACTATGGTAGTCAATGGGGAATGAGATCTGTTTGATTACTAAACACATAGAGGTTTGGAACAACATGAGGGTGAGTAAATACTGACAGAATTTTCATTTTTGGGTGAACTAACCTTTTAATATGTGTGCAATCACGCTGTTTATATTTACCTCCACATTTTACATCACATGCAGGCTCATTAGAATAGTAATCATAGGCTTATAGAATACTCCATCTAAAACGACTAATTTCAAACAGGGTCTGCATAAATCATGCAAAGCTACTCAAGTGGAGTATCAGAATAAAAATATAGAACTGGAAATTAGCATAATAGGTCCCCTTTAAATAATATTTTATTTATTTATTTACTTAAGAGAATCTGCTTGACTAATGAGGTATGGTAACAATTCTCAGAACCACCAATACCCTACAAATATTTTTTACATACCTGACTTTTTCCTTTTGCCCCTGGCTGACCCTGTGAAGACAGCTGTGGGTTTGGAGAAAGAAAATTAATCGTATAACAAATAAATCTTTAACTTATTATTTAAAATACTGGAAGATCACAACATTGCACAAGTGTGGAAGTACATGTATTAATAGGTGTAAAGTACATGTATTCTTATTGTGATTGAATTAAGGTTGCTCAATTAACTCCAAGTGTATCTTTTTCTCGCTTGGGTCCATCCTGTTTTTAATAATCCTAATTTGTTTAAACAAGTGCATGGTGTGTTTGAGTTCATTTCCCATACTTGACATAATGCATCCTGCATTGTGACTATTTCATATGCGAGTCGATCAAGTCGAGTTAAGTTAAGGTAACCCATGGATCAAACACTTTAGGCCTTTACACATATTAACTGTAATTTTTTTAATTTGTTCTAATTACCTTGCCCCTCGGGGGGTCGCCTGTTCGCCCTGACGCTCCGGGGGGTCGCCTGCTCGCCCTGACCCTCCGGGGGGTCGCCTGTTCGCCCTGACCCTCCGGGGGGTCGCCTGCTCGCCCTGACCCTCTGGGGGGGTCGCCTGCTCGCCTGACCCTCTGGGGGTCGCCTGCTCGCCCTGACGCTCCGGGGGGGTCGCCTGCTCGCCCTGACCCTCTGGGGGGTCGCCTGCTCGCCCTGACCCTCTGGGGGGGTCGCCTGCTCGCCCTGACGCTCCGGGGGGGTCGCCTGCTCGCCCTGACCCTCTGGGGGGGTCGCCTGTTCGCCCTGACGCTCCGGGGGGTCGCCTGCTCGCCCTGACGCTCCGGGGGGGTCGCCTGCTCGCCTGACGCTCCGGGGGGGTCGCCTGCTCGCCCTGACCCTCTGGGGGGTCGCCTGTTCGCCCTGACCCTCTGGGGGGTCGCCTGCTCGCCCTGACGCTCCGGGGGGGTCGCCTGCTCGCCCTGACCCTCTGGGGGGTCGCCTGTTCGCCCTGACGCTCCGGGGGGTCGCCTGCTCGCCCTGACGCTCCGGGGGGGTCGCCTGCTCGCCCTGACGCTCGGGGGGGTCGCCTGCTCGCCCTGACGCTCCGGGGGTCGCCTGCTCGCCCTGACCCTCTGGGGGGGTCGCCTGCTCGCCCTGACGCTCGGGGGGGTCGCCTGCTCGCCCTGACCCTCCGGGGGGGTCGCCTGTTCGCCCTGACGCTCCGGGGGGTCGCCTGCTCGCCCTGACGCTCCGGGGGGGTCGCCTGCTCGCCCTGACGCTCCGGGGGGTCGCCTGCTCGCCCTGACGCTCCGGGGGGGTCGCCTGCTCGCCTGACCCTCTGGGGGGGTCGCCTGCTCGCCCTGACGCTCCGGGGGGGTCGCCTGCTCGCCCTGACCCTCTGGGGGGGTCGCCTGTTCGCCCTGACGCTCCGGGGGGGTCGCCTGCTCGCCCTGACGCTCCGGGGGGGTCGCCTGCTCGCCCTGACGCTCCGGGGGGTCGCCTGCTCGCCCTGACGCTCCGGGGGGGTCGCCTGTTCGCCCTGACGCTCCGGGGGGGTCGCCTGCTCGCCCTGACGCTCCGTGGGGCTCGCCTGCTCGCCCTGACCCTCCGGGGGGGTCGCCTGCTCGCCTTCTTCTGGTTCTTCTTCTGGATCACAAGGTGTGAGCTGCAGCGTAATCAGCTGGTCATTGCCACTTGAATCCTGGGTCCAACCTGTGCAAGTTAAACAAGTGTTATGTTTTGCTTATTTAAAACATAGAGGTTAACCATAAGCTTGATCTATACTTGTTTTTAGTGTTAATCTTTTTGAATCATATAGTCCAAATTTTCCACAAACAAATTTGAAGGCACTTTTGATTGCAGGATAACTATTGAGAGTCTACTGGATGTATTATACTACTATGATTTTATTCACGCTGCTAGGCAGTCTGGATACCATGGACCAGATTTTCGCCTCAGCGAGGGGACCAATCACAGAACGGGGAGGGAGCAGCAAGATGATGACGACGTCTATGCGACACACCTAAGCTGTTTGTTTATATCTATGGATCCAACATGGAAACGCAAAGTTACCTTTCGATGCAGCCTTAGATATTGTTGGCAATATTCGCTGAACGCCACTGTGTACACATAAATCTCCGACCCATCATCTTCTTCCTCCTCTAATTTCTGTCGCTCTACATACATCATCTGGTATAATTGAAACAACTGGCTATGAGCTACGTACAAGCACATTTGATAGACATCCGTAGCATCCAATAAACTGTTCTGGGCATTTGTAAACCACGCCTCAAATACGAGAAAATTAACATGCGTTTCCCAGAACACGTCTCAATGAGACGAGGCTAAGTTTGTAGTGTATCCAGCCAACATTTGAAAATTTTCATTAATGATCTACATTTTAGCACTGTCCTTGATTTTGTTTCATTGAGTATATACTGTATAGATTCATTATCATTTGACCACCCAGTGACCAAAACGGGTCTTTGCAAATTTCATGTGTTAAATTAGTAGGTCAGTTAACGTAGTGTGATAGCGTAGAGCTACGTCACACGTAGGCTCATTATTGGCCGATGCTGGTCATGTATGTGATGCGTGTGACGTACAATAACAGAAGCTTACGCTATTAAACTAGTAACCTGACTCGAGGCAGAGAGAGAAATAAAAGAATAGAATCATTCCCTCAAGAAGCCTATGGACTAGTATGCAGGAGTGATCTTAATATCTTAAATATCTTAATTTGTGTTCCAAAGATGAACGAAGGTCTTACGGGGTTGGAACAACACAAGGAAGTTAGTTCACAAGGAAGTGAATAGTTGAAATAAAGTCGTTATTTTTGTTTGTTTTTGCGCACAAAAGTGTTCTCGTCGTTTGATAAAGTTAAAATGTAGCCACTGTAGTCACTTGGACTATTTTAAGATGGACGAAGGTCTTACGGGGTTGGAACAACATGAGGGTGAGTAAATACTGACAGAATTTTCATTTTTGGGTGAACTAACCCTTTAAGTTTTAAACATTAATAAAATATTTTGCGTACTCAACAAAAGTTGTGAACCGTGACTTTAAAATACAGTGTGTGCATCTCACCTTCACAAAGATATTCATAAAATGAACCTATCTTCTGAAGGTAGTCCTTGGCATAGGCGGAGAGTGTGCAGCGGGGGGTCAAAATTTCACACTTGAATGTTTTTTTGTTGGTCTCCTTTCCAAGAAGGAGAAGTGGCTTATATCCAATGGCATGGAGTTTCTCCAGCTGCAATGACAAAATTGTATATTTACTGTTTAAAGTAATAGAAAAACAACAAAAAATAACTAAGCTATTTAACTAACTAATTATTAAGAGAATATAACATTATTGATGACAGCATCCAGGTTCCTGCCATTCAAAATTTGTAACCTAATGGTGAGTTTAGCTTATGTATAATCTAGTATGTGCAAACAGGAAAGGCTCATACAGTAGCAACAAAAACCAACTCTAAAACATCAGAAAGATGAATCTGACACCATGAGGGTACAATATGACTTTTTGTAACATTAGTAGTTTGGGTTTTGCACGTACGTTGACAATATCATGTAACCATTGTGCAACTGGACAATGACAACCTAAAGATTTATTAAAAATAAAGGCAGAAACTTAATGATTACATTATCAGATGGGTGAATGCTGCACATATTTAGCTAACCATGCACATTGTAAATTGCTATGAGTAGTACAGTATGAATGCAGTTAATTTGTTATTTCTCATCCACTCAATAATAAAATGTTTGATTATTATATTGCACCTGTAATTCTGTCATAATGCATGCCTGTATTTGTTATGAACTCAATAATTCCTGGATATAAATTATGTTTGCTGTGTGTTCAAATTTTGCTCTGGTAGATAATTTAGGTCTGTGATGTATTACTGTGAATAAGTGATTACTTAAGGGATCACAATTCACAATTTCACAATTACATCTGCCTTCTAAAATTGATAGTTAAATTGTACTTTTAAATTAGTTTTGATGACACAGGGTCATTGAAAAAAATATTGATCTATATTTGCAAAAAATAATGTCTTTCTGACCTTGCACTAACATGCTCACTTAACAAATGGTACCACTGAATGTACTTCCTAGACCTAGATGATATGGACAGTTTAATGTCATGTATGAAATTGTACGTACCATGATATTGGCTTCATCCTTGATGGATGCCATGTTGTGGTTTTTCTTGTGACCACTCACCCATTCCTCTCGCTTCTCATCAAACCTCTGAAGCTTTTTCTTGAGGCGCTGTTTCAGAGGCTGCTCCTTTTTGCAATGTGTGCATATTTTTTGAGCACAAAATAAAATGCCCTGGCAAAAGGGGCAGATCTTTTTTGTAGACCCCCCTGGCATAATAAGTGGACAGACAGACAGACAGACAGACAGGCAAAGACAAAAGAACAAGCAACAGATAAAGACTGTGAGATAGATAAAGATTGAAAAGATAGACAGAAATATATATAGTGAGAGAACAGAGAGGATGTAAGATATAGAAAGTAATGAAGAGATAGAGGTTGGCTCTTAAAAGTGCCTTTGGGTTTTTAAAATCAGGTTCAGATATGTTCGACAGGTGATATGTTTGACAGGATCTGCAGGGAGAACAACAAAAAATGTTAATTATGTAGCTATGTTGATAGGATTTAAAAAGTGTACCCTGTAATAGATTTTTTCTTATAAATGCTTAGGATAAATAAATACAGATTCATGCTGTTCCTATGCTTCCTGTGCTACTGTTAAAAATTATTTTAATGGCGCAATTAATATTATTAATTGTTATTTAAGTGAAATTACTGAACTTAAATATAAAAGTTTGTTAAAAATCATCAATAAAGAAGAAAATTTCAAATGGCATTTAGAGGCTTTTGCATCTGAACTCTTCATATATGTATATATATATATATATATATATATATATATATCACCTAGATCTAGGCCTAGAAAATGTTTTTATATATATATATATATATAAACTCGTAATTTTATTAATTTGGACGTGTAATGCTTATGAATTAATTTTGCTTAACAGGCTGCTGTAAGCGACTTACCGTGGTGGAATCGCGCTGGGCAATGTTTCTCCGATGGTCGCACACAGTGACGTG